AATACAAGGCGCTACCCATCGTCAGCGCAGCCCACCAAACCAGCAAAAACCACAGTGACACCGCAAGCATACTTTTAACTTGAGGGCACATCCCCGACTGCCCCATCGGAATACACTGCAAGTAGCATTCCGGAAGCTGCCTTCCAGGGCCCAACCCGGTCAAATCCAGCTGACAATTATACGCCTCTGAGTAGGACCAAATGTGGAGCCTATTGAGCTTGACGTAGCCGCAAGAGTACCGGGAGCAGCCGGCGCTGCCCAGGAGGTTATTGATGATGTCTCGGTGCGCTTGGTATTGCTGAGCTGTGCAGGGTCCGGTGTTGGTGGAGGAGACGTCGGAGAAACAGCATTGCAATTTTTGGCTGCGTGCCAGTCCGAGGGTGATGAGGAGCTGGCGAGGTTAGGGGTGGTTGGTTTGGCGAGCGGTGGGAGGGGTTGGGGGGGGGGGGGGGGGGGGGGGGGGGGAGGAAGGGATGGTTAATTACTTACAATGGCGAGAGATAGCTGCATGTTTGTCTTTTGCATTTTGCAGAGGAGAGAAGATAAATTGAAAGGATTGGGGGAAAATCCGCCAACGGAGGGAAGCGTGTGTCGACAGAACCTGGTGAGTAGCCGAGAATATATCTCCTTTTTTGCCCAGGACTACAACCAATCTCCCTAATCTCTTTCTTGCAAGGAAAAAAACAGGCTTGCCTTTGCTAGCGTGGGGGTTCGTGTTCGCAGGACAGGGCCTGCTTGTTCACGCACACGTCTTTCACCCGTGAAGCTTTACTTTCCAGAGCTAAGTTGCATCACGGCTACAGAAACGGGTATCGGTTCCATCGGACTGAGCTTCGGTGGAGAGTAATAGCAGAAATAGGAATGTGGCGTCGAGCGGGAACAACTGTTTGGTGCGTGCCAAACCTGGTCCGCCTAAAGCAACGCAGCCTATTTTCTCCACCGAAATAGAAGCAGCAGTCATTTTCGCTTCCTCGTTGTCTTTCTCTCTTCCTTCTTTTATTTATATTAATATTCAGCGCTGTCCTTGCGCACATATTCGTCGCCATCGCTTGACCGTCACTTCCAAAGAACGCCCAAAATTAACACTCTTACAGAACATAAACCTCCAAGACAAGTGGTAAGACTGGTTCACGAATGGGGTTGAGAGATATTCGACTCATTTTGATATGCCGGAAAAATGCGCTTCAGCCTCATCTTCTTAACGCTTCTCTCCACCGCGGCGGTTCGAGCGCAATTGCTTGCCGCCACAATCTTAGCTTTCCAGGTCGCCTTCGACATCGTCTCAACCGTAGCTGAAGAGGGCGTCTTAGCCGAAATAACGACATCCGCCGAAATCGAGCTAACAGAAGCCGCCGCCGAGGAGATCCAATTTGCTACCAACCGGCAGAACTCGGTCACGACCGTGGGTGGCCAGGTGGGTGAGGCGACGATTGTTGGAGCCGAATCGGCCAAGTACTTCCATTTAACGAAGAAGGCGGTGAACGCGATCGGGGACACGAAGTTCGTCACCAGCGACTTCTTATGGGAAGGGCTCGAAATCGTCCAATCTGGAGGCAAGCGTGTATGGGTACCCAGCGTCACGGGGACGGTTAAGAGCGGTTTTAGGCTAGATAAAGAGCTCGACACTTTTGTCACGGATGGTGGTGGCGCTATTTTCAAGCGTGGGGGCGATGCGGGCGCCTATATCAATTATGGGGAGCTGGTACCGACGGGTGGCTACAGAATCGCCATCAAAGAAATGTTTTTGAATGCGCGGATGGCTACCCACTAGATGCTGGATGCGGATAATGGTTCCCCTTGTTTGGATTGTTTCTCGTTGATCCTTGGCCATGCACCTGGGGATCTTTTGTCTAGATCATTTTGATATTGACGCGCCTATCGCGTCTACCATTTATTTCAACGAATTCTCCTCATCAGACTCCCAGAACCATATCCACCACTGTATAAATGTATGCTGATATAGACGGAATTGATGGCGGAGGAGTATAGAAAAGCGCACGGACTTAAGATTGACAAAATGAACCTAAAACATGCGGAACAATGCAAAACAGTCAACTAACTCGGCGGTTTAACTGCCTAAACCTTGATGTTGTCCCGGATGACCCGTCTCTTAAGTAATCTTACATGGCTGCACAGTCATTGGCTAGGTTCTGGACAGCAAGACACCAAGGCCAAAAAGGGCGAGAAGAATGGAAAAAAAAGAGGAAAAAGGAAGAAAGGTGCCTAATTGTGGTGAAGTGAATGAGAACTTTTAGGATAAGAAATTCGGAACTTGAGCCAAAGCAGCAGCAACAGCGCACACAGTGCTCAACAGTCTCCAGTGTTGGACAAGGAAAAGGGAGGAAAAATGTTGCCAGTGCACCAGGAAGTATTCATGAGATCAGGGTCACTGGCACAAGAGAAAATAGATATGATGGCATCAATGGGGAGCGCCACGATTGCTCGAGCTTGCAGATTCGATGCAGCGACTGAGACACATGGTTCGCCAAGGAAAGCGGCTGCTAGCAGCGAGCATGTAGCGTCCAGAGTAGGTGGTGGAAGAGTCGTAGCAGTTGAGGTCGGGTGCGTGTTGTAGAAAAGATCAGGTTGCGGTTAGGTGGCCCGAGCGTCGCGGGGATGTTCGCGCCCTTGTGAGCCTCAGGCAGACAGGCTTCCCGAACGTCGGCTTCCATCAGTGTGCGCCGGTCTGCCGTCAGTTCCATCTACTACTCCAACCCCTCGCACGCGACCTCTCCAATCCTCCCAGCATCCAACGGCAAACTGCGTCGCTGAAGCGCATTCCACCACGCCGCCTTTTCTACCATCTCCTCCACCGATATCGTCCGCGCCCTCGCGTCCGTCCGTCCGTCCGTCCGTCCGTCCTCCGTGTCCCGCCAACACCCCCAGCCCATGTCTGAGAACGCGTCGACGACGTCGTCGAGCACCTTCAACATTCCGCAGCTGCTCGTCATCGCCGTCGTCAGCTTCCTGCTCTTCCGCTGGTACAGCAGCAGTTCGGGCTCCGCGTCCACGACGGCCAACGGCCGCTCCACCTCCCACAACAATGGCGCCCCGCGCGTGAACCCCGCCGCCGTCGAGCAGGTTGCCCTCATGTTCCCCCAGCTGCAGAGACGCGACATCATGTGGGATCTGTCGAGAAACGGGAGCAATGTCGCCGCGACGACGGAGCGGATACTGAGCGGGCGAGGCCTCGATGTCGTACGTATCTACCTACCCAATCCACCACACACTTTGAAAGAAGCACTTCTAAAACAATCGCACCACGCAGCCTCCCCCATCCTACCAACCACCCATGCCAGCGCCCCGCACCGCAGCCTCGACGCCGCTGCTGCCCAAATCCCAGAATCCCGATCTGATCACGCGGTACAACCTGGCGAATAAAATCAACAACGACGAGTCCGGCGCTGCGGAAGACGGTGCGCAAAACACGACGTGGTCGCAGAATAAGTCGGAGCGGCAAAAGATCCTGCAGAAGAGGCGCGAAGAAATGGTTCTGGCGGCGCGGCGGCGCATGCTCGAGAAGGACAAGGCGAGCGGCGGCAGCAGCACAGGTGGTGCGCCTATTGCGTCGTCATCATCATCATCTTAGGATGCAGAGGCAGGAGTACGTGTCGCAATCGTTGTTAGCAGGCCCAGCATTAGATCCAAAAGATTACCTGATGACATGGCACAGCAGTCAGGCAGTGTTTGTTGGTGTCTATTGAGCGATCAAATCTCAAGTGCTTGCTTGTCCTGCGGCGTTGGGATCAAGCAAGATGCTGCACCGGACTAACATCCGGACGCGTCTTAAACAGATCCAACATGGGCAAGAACAGCTTCTTCGACGGATCACCTGCCCACGCCTGCAGCTCCTCATACCGCACCCACCGCCACTCGGCGCACTTTTCTGGCTCCATGATCTGGCATCAATTAATCAGCCTCCATCCATTTTCCTCACCCCCAACCCATAATCAAAACCAAAACCATCATCACACCAACATTTTTATTAAAAGAAAAAAACCCCAAAAATAAAAAAAAAAACTTACCTTGGGCTCCCCACCCTCTCCTTCCCTCAAAACAGCCGTCATGAAAACAGTGACATAATGCAACCTTTCAACCTCCCACACGCTATTCGTCGCAGTCAGGAAACGAATATCCTCGCGTTTGATCTTGAGACCCGTCTCTTCGAGCACTTCGCGCGCCGCGCAGTCTTCGAAAGTCTCGCCGAATTCGAGGTGCCCGCCTGGGAGCGCCCATGTGCCTGTGAGACGGACGCACGTTAGAGATGTGTATGGATGGACGAGTGGGTAGGTGGATGCAATTTGGGGTGTTTGTGCATGGATGCTTGGGGGTTGTGGTGGGTGGCAGCAGCAAGTGAGTGAGGCTGGAATTTTAGCATGTAGTGGAGATGCATACCAGAGCCATGACTCCCCTTGCGCAAGCCGGCGATGAATTCGCCGTTTTGCTTTAGAATGAAGACGCCGACGCCGATTTTGGGACGTGTTGGGTCGGTCGACATGGTTTGTCTGTCCCTCTGTCTGTCTGTTGCGGCGAGGGTGAGAGAATTGGAAATGCAATTTAGAGATGGTGGTCGTGCTGACAGACGGCCGCCGAGGGCTGTGCTTCAATATGTTTGTGGGTTCCTGGTCACTGTCGCTGTTCTTCTGCTTTTCAGCCTTGCCGATTGCGCCTTGTGAGAAGGAGGCTATGGCAGGCGATTGTGTTAAGGCTGAGTGTCGTTTGGTTTAGTTCGTTGCGGCGAGCTTGTAGATTGGATTGAAGTGACTCGAAGACAGTCGGGCGTCTTCGATTCTGATAGGTGGGACGGACGGGATGTAGACTGCAGAATCGCTAGAAAAGCCACCACACGAGATGGACGTCACGGAATCAAAACAGTCAATGCGAAGACGACATCTTTAAGAGCAAAAAAAACAAAAAAATGAAAATAATCAAGAAGATGTACTTCGACCAGCACGGGGCTCTGACTTTATGTTAGAATGAAATTCGAAAATGATGAAATACGGACTGTACTAACCGAACCCGCAACCTTGCCCTGATTCAAAGCATTAAGCGTAGGAGGGGCACGCGCTACCATTGCGCCAACCAGCCATTTAGTTTGTTTTCAAATGCACCAAACATTATATAATATTGCAAACGTGAATCTGTGGACCGAAGACGGCCGGCGGAGGCTCCGGGTCCACCAACTCGGGCCGCTCGGAAGGAGGACCGAACGGAATGCTAGCATCATTGCTGCATTGATCGGAGCATAGGTAGGACCCTCTCCACCCTCACTTTCGAATACAGCAAAAGGCAGGCCAAGCATGCCGTTTTCTCACCACAGCCACTCCGGCCAGTTCTGCGCCCATGCCAAAGGAACGCTGGAAGAAATGATCCAGGCAGCCGTTGCCAAAGGCTTCGACACCTTCGCTTTGACAGAGCACATGCCGCGAGACGACGAAGACTTGTACCCAGAAGAAGTGCGTGAGTCTGCCCACAACCGCGACAGTCAGACTCTTTATTGACTCTGCCCAGCAAGGCCAGACATCGGCGCAAGGCCTAACGCAGCTCTTCGACGACTACTACCGTGAAGCGCAGCGCCTGCGCGAAAAGTACCAGTCGCAAATCCACATCCTGATCGGCTTCGAGGCGGAATGGATACGACCGTCGTCGCTGGCGCGAACAAAGGCCTTGCTCGAGCAATACCGGTTCGATCTCTTCATTGGCTCTGTACACCACACGCACACGGTGCCGATCGATTTTGACCAGCCCATGTACGTCGAGGCGCGGGCGAGGTCGAGCGGCACGGACGAGGGTCTGTTTGAGTTTTACTACGACGCGCAGTACGACATGCTCCAGGCGCTGCGACCGCCAATGGTCGGGCATTTCGATCTCATCCGGCTGCTGAGCGACGAGCCGAACCGCGACCCGCGGACGTGGGATACGATTTGGGCAAAGATGTTGCGGAACTTGGAGTACATTGCTGATTATGGCGGGCTGTTGGAAATCAACACTGCCGGACTGCGCAAAGGCTTGGCCGAGCCGTATCCTTCGGCGTCACTCTGTCGAGTGGGTATACCTAGGCGCGCGCTTGCGGCACGGTAATGGCTGCTGATGGGCGTGACAGATATTCCTTCAACGCGGCGGACGCTTTACCTTGTCGGATGATAGCCACCAGGTCGGCCACGTCGGCACAAACTACCATAAGCTGCCCGATTTTCTGGAGAGCGCGGGCATCCAAGAGGTCTACCGGTTTGTGAAAGCTGCCGAGACTCGGGACGAGCGGTTTCCGGGCATCAATGTCGAAGCCGTCAGTGTCAGGGACATTGTTGCTAAACACGCGTCAGTGTCGGGTAGTCCAGACAAGCTTGACTCCCAACAAACATCAATGACGGGCGCGAAGACAAGTACATAGCAAGGGGTCAAGTTGAAGCAACCAATGACGACAAGGAGAATACACGTGAGATGGCGCGAGGGCCGGAGGTTGAGCAGGTTGGGCAGAGGGCGGAAGAGGATTGCTGGGATGGCCTGGAAATCGAAAGGGGCGCAGCGTGCATGAGGGCAGCGGGCGCAGGTCCAATTGCGAAAGCAGAGAGCCATGGGATTCTATGCGGATGGATGATCTCGGTCGGAAGCGGTGCCTGGTGCGCACATAGACTTTCGAGACCCCGCCACGTGCGGAAGCGGCGCCGGCGGGGTAGTAATGATGAACCAGGAGAGACGCCGCAAGGCACAAGACTCTGTAACCACTGTATCCCTATACAGAAGTACACACATATATATATATCAGTCCTCCGTTCCGCTCGGCCCTCTGTCTGTGCTTACACCAACCTCGCGCCACCTTTTCCTTTGCCTTCCCCTCCGTTTCCAGGGACCTCCACAACTCCAACTCCCCACCTCACCAACAAACATCACCTTCATTTAGCAATCCATCATGGGTGTCGAGAAGCAAACCATCAAGCCCGGCGACGGCGTCACCAAGCCCCAGAATGGCGACACGGTCACCATGGAGTACACCGGCTACCTCCAGGACGCTTCGGGCGCCAAGGGCAAGCAGTGAGTCGGTTCCAACCTATACACGCTGGCCTCGCTGACCCAATGCCTCACAGGTTCGACTCATCCGTCGGCCGCGGCGACTTCCAGACCGCCATTGGCGTTGGTCGCGTCATCAAAGGTACACCTAACCCACGACGAGCACAAGTCGACAGCAGCGGAACACGAGGGCGAGCGCTGACACCTTTCACACAAACAACAGGCTGGGACGAGGGCATCGTTGGCACGGCTTCACAGCCCGGCATGACGCTCGGCGAGAAGGCGACGCTGACCATCACCGCGTACGTTTCCCCAACACTCCCTCCCCATCATCGGACTCTTTGCTGACATTGCCGCTGGATACAGTGACTACGGATACGGCGCTTCGTAAGACTCCCCCCCAGTCCTCCCGTCTTGACCAATGAATGGCGGCTTGCGACGATTCGACGAATGCTGACATGCTTGCGTGCTCCTACAGTGGCTTCCCCGGCGTCATCCCCCCCAACGCGACCCTGATCTTCGATGTCGAGCTCAAGGGCATCAACAACCAGCGGGCTTAGACGGCGAATGAGGTACGCACTCCGCCCAAAGGCGCCGACAAACGACCCCACGTCAACAACCATAGTCTGACACAAGCGCAGGAATTCTCTGATGGATTGTTGCCATTACGAGCATCCATCACCGCTCTAGACTCTGGCCGTCCTCTTCGCCTCTACTCTCCTGTTTTTCATAGTCGCTTGCGAAAGAGAGAGAAAATTCATTTGAGAGATTTTCTTTGATATGCAGGTCAACGAGGCCTCGTTTCCTAATGGGGTTCGCCCCTGAATCAACCAAGAACAAATACATGCATGCACAGACGGTGCCTCCTCGTACCACAACATTGATGCTCTACTTCCCGCCTTCTCATGCTCTGTCTGCTTGGTAAGCCGAACTTCTTACCCTCTAGCATGCCACACGCCCTGAGATTCCCCGTCTCCGTCCCATCTGGGCTACCTACCTACTAACCACGCGACGGCTGAATCCCAACCCAACATGCCCTCAACAACATCACCCATTTGCTTGTGGGCGCGGGCACGCATCCACAGCGTCGCACTTTCTCAAACAACAAGGGCAACAGAAACACTGCTATTCCATTTAGACCTACCTCTCTCTGTACTGTACATACCAAAAACCAACCAACCCACTCAGTGTGCCATCGCGAGCATCAAACATCCCACCCACCCCCTCGCCCCGTTCCCTCACGTCCTCCCCTCCCCGTTTACACCCATTCCCAGATATCCCTCCTCTTCCTTCCCTATCTATCAACCTTCCATCACGCCGTCTCCGTCTCCGTCTCCGCGTCCAGACGCGCCCAGACGGACGGACGAACGGACGGGCGGGCGGAAACGGACGGATGCGGGGGTCTTTTCAGCAGCCATCTAGGGTTGGGTTGGGTTGGATTGGGTTGTGGGGTTAGCTGTCGAGCGAGTTGCATGTGTGTGCGCGGGAATAGGGGATGGGGTTGAGGATAAGATGGATCGAGGCTGAGCCGTGGCAAGTATTCATGTATGTATGTATACATATATGGACGGATAGTGAGTCGGGTAAAAAAAGACAAATCGGGGTTAAGGGGTTAGCTAAGCGGCTCATTGGTGGTGGTTGGGGGGTGAAGGGAAAATATAGTGATTTCGAAGTGCTTGCAGCGAGTGGCGTGCGATCAAGATTGTGCTTTCTTGGTTGTTGTGGTAGCGGCGGCGGTGCGTTGGGGAGAAGGTGGTGGCGGTGGTGGAGTTTGGTTTGAGAGGCTGAGAGGTGGTTTGGGTTGCTTTTGTAGCGTGTAGGTGTAGATGGACCGGCACGCATTGTTGTGCTTGGTGTAGGGGAAGGGAGAGGAAGGAGAGGAGGGAGGGAGGGAGGGAGGGGGGAAAAGGAAGGAGGAAAGAGAAGAGGAAGAAGTTCGGGCGCTGTGTTCTTGTCCACGGTGATGCCGGTGATAGTGGTGCAGACGAGGACGCAGCCTTGGATGTTTTTCTTACTTCTATGTCTGGTTGCGCCTCTTTTGTCACGGGCTCTGTGGTATCTCGGGCCGCTTTTTCATTTTTCTAAGTAGATTGCTGAGGAGCAGCTTGCTTCTCTTGCTTTCACTCCGTCTTTTCTCTCGTCCAGCTAGCTCACTTGCCTGACATGTTCAGAGGTGCATCCCTTCTGCCTCATACACAGCGGCATTTCCAATTTAGACTAGATGTAACATCAGACGATTAGTCTGATAAGCCACAATTTGTTCTCTATCCAAGCAGGCTAACTGTTTGTCCATTTATTTGAATGTCTCCTACCACGACTAACTCAACTATCGACACCACGCCCGGCCTGACCGCCATCCCATCCCACCCATCCAACAAACCACCGCCGACACCGGCGCAGCGTCCCTGCGCCTGACTGTCAGCTCTGTACCACGACCAACAGCCACTCCAGCCATCCCAGCGCACCTCAAGCCGCTAGCAACGCATTCAGTCAATCAATCAACCAACCAACCCACCCGCCCCCAACGGCGGGCAATGCGGGTCCTGAACTAAGACTGTCAGACAGAAAGACAGACAGCAAGCGAGACAAGATGCAAGATGAGAGTCTCAAACAAGCGCACCAAGGCAGATACATACGTGGGTCTGCATCTATTCGGTTGTGTGTCTGCGCTGCGGGGCACGCAGCAAGCCAGATGATCTGATAGTCGGTCGGACTACTGGCTGTGTTTCACACTTGATTGCGGGTGCGGGCGGGCGGGCGGAAGGGAGTGCGGGACAGCGGGACCGCTGGGGTGGTGGTGCGGGTAAGGCTGTGTAGCGTGAGGGTTCCTAGTTAGGCGTGACGGATGGAGGGTTGAGTTGTGTGTGTCAGCGAGGATGAGTGGTTGATTGGTTGGCGGAGATGTCTGGGTGTGTGTGACACGATGAAAGCGTGTACGCTGCTGCAGTCGTCGGTGTGTAGGACACTGCGCAGGCGGGCGGATAAGGAGATAGGGAGGACGGCTGACAAGTGGATAGACAGACTGCAGCTGGCCGTTTTTGTCCATGATACCTTTCCGCTCTTTCAACGTTTCCCTTGTT